GACTATCTAGTGGTGTCTTCAGAAGTAATTAACAAATTTTAGTCGCACTCCGTGGAAGATACTTCACTATAAGACACGCATGTGAAATGTGTTAATTATTACTGAAGACACTATTAGATATCGTCTTTATATCATATATACTTATTTTGAAAATGTGTATATATATACATGGATGTATATATAGGATTGTACAAAAGACACGTAAGTAGACATCATTTCCGTGAAGCAACTTCTAGTAGAAGCATACGAATGACAGGTTATCTGGTGAGTCAACGTCCCTAGTGTGCTCGATTGACCCGTGATTTCACTGACGCAATTTCAAGGGCCGACAGGGAAGGTGTTGTTACTGAGCACCACTGTCTACAGTCTTACGGTTCCAAATAATAAAGGCAACGAATAAAACTAAATTGAACCTATTTGGGATTTCAAAGCGCTTGCACACAATAACCTAAATAAAGTTCCGATGAACATGAAACACGTCAACCACGTTTAATACTTTGACAGGCTTCCCTGAACATAGCGAATCGGTTCCTGAAACTGTTCGCCAGTAGTGTTTAATTCCGGGGATCGATATTTCATCAAACCTGCCTCAATAGACTTGTTTAAGATATGGGAAATTGTCCTTGGTGATGACCTAAAGGACTTTCTACGGTTTAGCATGTTTCCGAAATGATCCAGTGTGGCATATCAACAGATGGACCTGACGTTAAAGGAGCGACGCGACGTAATTAAATTCCGCATTTTTAGATTGCTAGTTTTATCGATCGCTTTCCTGTCAACAGTGTAGGCACCTTGTACATCTTGCAGTTTGTTTTTATTGGCTGGGCACAACATGAATATCGCTAGCAGTCCCTTTGTAGAAGCTGTTGGTTGCTCTCTCGGTGAATAACAACAGGAAGGCCCGTCGCATGCCATCCTAAGTAATTCGAGTAAAGTCTCTTTTCCAAGGACACAACCACATAAGCACAGGCCTGTTTCCCAGCTTCACACGAAACAAACTGCAACGAGAAGAGGGCGTCGAACCTTGCAACTCAGATCTACAGTTGAGGTTACACATGTGAAGAAGGCGTCGAACCTTGAACTCAGGTCTTCGGCTAAGGTTACACATGTGTAGAGAGCGTCGAACCTTGTAACTCGGGTCTTCAGTTCAGGTTACACATGTGGAGAAAGCGTCGAACCTTGTAACTCGGGTCTTCAGTTCAGGTTTCACAAGTGAAGAGAGATCAGACCTTGTCACTCAGGTCTTCGGCTGAGGTTACGCACGTATGTTGGCCAACGCTTTACACTGCTGACCTTTGAAATAGTATAAAGGCATCGCAATATCTGTTGTAATACATAGACAGGTTATTTAACGAAATATTTTCGTATATATTATATAATATAGCAACGCAGGTTTGATATTGGTTCTTGATTGCCTCTTTTCTCGAACGGATTTTTTCTTGGCACTATAGTGATTTTTTAATTCTATTTTAATCGCCTCAACCATTTGAGAACCAATCAACACCATTTGCAACATTCAATATTGGTACCATTATTGCTGACATGATCAACCTCTAGAATATTTTTGATCCAAAAAGTATTGCAATGCAGTGCCCGTATTTTGCTTTTTATAATATATGGCTGTCTTCTTAATTTGACAATATGGGTTCAATCCATAGCATAAAATTATCAACTTGAAGTTGCTCCCTTGAACGGTGAAGAATTTTCAGCTTCCTTCGTGTATACACTGAACGTAACTGCCTATCACTATTTTTGTTTTTTTGTTTTTTTTTTTTTTGGTTTTTTTTTTTTTTTTTTACTTCAAATTCAATTTATTAAATATCAACGAAAATCGTTATGCCATAAACATTGGCAAGAGTATACAAATAAAATAGTATTTCACCTGCTAGAAAACCCAAAGGTCGCAATGCTAAGATTAACTGCCGATATACGCTATATCTATATGGTATGTAGACTTAACAGTAACATTATCACTATACGGTATGTAGACTTAACGTTATCACTATACGGTATGTAGACTTAACGTTATCACTATACGGTATGTAGACTTAACGTTATCACTATACGGTATGTAGACTTAACGTTATCACTATACGGTATGTAGACTTAACGTTATCACTATACGGTATGTAGACTTAACGTTATCACTATACGGTATGTAGACTTAACGTTATCACTGTACGGTATGTAGACTTAACAGTAACGTTATCACTATACGGTATGTAGACTTAACAGTAACGTTATCACTATACGGTATGTAGACTTAACGTTATCACTATACGGTATGTAGATTTAACAGTAACGTTATCACTATACGGTATGTAGACTTAACGTTATCACTGTACGGTATGTAGACTTAACAGTAACGTTATCACTATACGGTATGTAGACTTAACGTTATCACTATACGGTATGTAGACTTAACGTTATCACTATACGGTATGTAGACTTAACGTTATCACTATACGGTATGTAGACTTAACGTTATCACTATACGGTATGTAGACTTAACGTTATCACTATACGGTATGTAGACTTAACAGTAACGTTATCACTATACGGTATGTAGACTTAACGTTATCACTATACGGTATGTAGACTTAACAGTAATGTTATCACTATACGGTATGTAGACTTAACAGTAACGTTATCACTATAAGGTATGTATATTTAATGTTAGATACAGATATACGCACTGATCAAGTTTGACAAGGGGAAGTGTTAAATGTGCCTGTTCGGCCTAGACCTGTGCGAGACTTTCCAGTGTCTGTTACTAAGACGACAATTACGTTAAATGCCAATTGCGTCACGTCATTCACCTAAGACAACAGGATCTCTTATTCAACAAAAACATTTCTTTAAGGAATAAAACGATTTGTCGATTGTGTCTCTCTGACAGCTCCTTATTGTTAGACGTATCGGAAAACACAGACAGCTTTACTTAAAACAAGGTTACTTCTTTGCAAAACAGTGTGTAAAAATATCATAACAACGCTACTAGTACAATATGAGTGCTATAAATAAAGTTTTCTATTTAAAGTCGGCAAATCTTTTATATAGTATTAATTTTTCACAATATAGTTGATTGATCAAACATTTCGTATCTTAACTATTTTTAGAATCGGTCGATGTGAAATCCTTAAAACATATAACTTATTGAAAGTCCTTGGGGAATCACCTTTCGTTGATATCTCACACGACATCAATATATCTAAAGTTGATGCTTTAGCAAACTCTTGTTCCGACAGTTCCCTTCCAGCATGTGTGATCTATTGAGGTAGGTTGGCCTATTTCGTAGCGTGCGTGGTGACCGCTGTCGCAGTAAAAACTAAGGGTAGACATTGATCGCAACCCATGAGAGATTGCTACAGAGCTAGCGTGTTCCTTAACAAGTGTCCTCCTCATTTTGTCTGACGTTTGTTTCTCCCAGAAATCAAACTTCGACTCCCAAGAGACATATACGATCCAAACTGCCTTCAACAAATTAAAACAACCCACGTTCAAAATTCATGGAGGTTTATGTAATTAAAATGGTATCGCATGCCTCACGACATCAAAACCACAAGCGTTTATACAAAGGCATTTTCTTTATCCATACTCTTTCCTATAAAGCATGTACGCTCGCTGGAAATCTACAGTATTCGATTAAACTAAACGTACATTCGTGACAAGTCGGTTTTGCCCTTTTTCTACGTTCTAAACTGTTTGAAATACTGTAATATTTACAGACTGTGATGGCTGTCAGTGTAGAAATGTCAACAATAATGTGTTCACTTTGGGGACGTTTGCTCGATTTTCTTTGACTGTTATGAGGTTAAGTATAAAAAACATTGTTGTCAGTGAGTTTAACATAATTACCGTTTTTAAAATCGTTCTCGTTTGTATAATTTACGTGAAGGGTTCGTTAAATTGAACTAGACTTTTACAAAAAAATATATATATATATATATTCATGTATCATATTATAGTAAAGTTTTTGTAACGTTAAAATCAAAATCTCACTTCTTATCCCAAGTACTAATATTTGAAAAGTTAGCAATATTGTAAGCTATCGCAATAATATCACTTAATGATTTTCTTCTTCACAATAAGCCTTCATGTCTCACTTTATTGAAGGTTTTACCTTTAAGTCACAGAAACAAAGCGGAATTCTTTATGAAGGGAATCTATAATCCATGATATGGAGGTCGATTTTTCTATATTTTAGTAATGCAGTAGATAACCGAAAAAAGACCATGATTAAGAAATCCTCCTTTCACACTTGCCTTTTTGAATAGCAAGAGTATTTGCGACTATAAAAGAAAATAAAATTGAGGAATGTGCCCATCATTTCACAAAGAACGGTAAGAGGTGTATAAATTTGGAATATTTCCATCAGGACCAGCGGACTTTTACTCATTTTAGAGTGGTGGGTTGCTGCTTTGTTTTCGGGGGCGTTAGAATTATTATTTTTAATCCTTAATGCAGCAACAGAGATGCGATTATCCTCGGGTTACAATAAATAATAAAAAATACCAACATGTCAACTTAATCATAATCCAAATTCCATAAAACCAGGGCAAAGTATGAACAAAAGAAATATTTACACGGAGGCTCCTGAAAGTATACAATGATAATAAGACCAGGTGTTCCCGAAGAGTAAGCGTCTTCTGATTCATCGACCATTTTATTACCGGATAGGCTCTAGGCCAACCGTTTCCGTGTTAAGATATTTCAGCGGAATGACTCTTTAAAATACCTATCACTGGTTTTGTCATACACAGTGTCATTATATTCAATGCTGTAACAAACAAGACGAACTAACCAAAATAACATTATAGGATTCTAACAAACACTAATGCGCACCGGAAATAGATTGTACAATATTGTACGAAAGAAGTAAATCTTAAATCTTCCAGACATATAACATCAACAGTGATATTTTGACAAGGTACAAAGTAATTACATTATATACTAATTTCCAGTATCTATTTACAGATGTTTTCTTTTGTTTTTTCCAGCTATGTCAAAACTAAAGAAAGCCAATATCCATGTAGCGATAGGACCATATGACGATGCGATTGCCATGGTTACGGAAAAACTAGGAATTCCGTACCTTTCTACATCTACGGTGACGAAAAACAAACTGAATACTACCTTTCAAATCCTGCCACGTCTTTCGGATTTTGGACAGTCAATTCTTGACATTGTCAACTTCTATAAGTGGGAAAAAGTCAGTTTATTCTACGATGATGATAAAGGCAAGTATACCATAAAATGTCATGAATCCTAAGTAGGTACTTCCTTTTATCGGTCTAAAAAGATGATATTACAATAACTTGAGGACAATAAGAATCGTATTGCAATCTTATGGCGTCGGAAATCAAACAATACTTTACCTGGAAATATTGGCTACAGACTTGTAGCAACACAAATCTATGTTTTAAGGTATCGTGATTATCATGACTTGGACGTTTCTGTTCTTGTTTACACCCATTTTCCCTGAAATAGACTAGTTTTTCTGCTGAAATGAATTCAGTTTAGAAATAATATGTGTCGGAATTGGATTCTAAAACTTCTAAGATTTCAGAATAATTGAATTATTTTGATGGAAATGATAATCACGAAAATGGACTTAAATTAAGCAGTTTTTTTTTATTATTCGGTCTAACATAAATACGATTTCTAATTCAAACTCAAATATGAGAGACTCATAAAAAGCAAAGCAGGATATGACCAGGTGAGTAATTACTTGACAATGTTCTTAAATATAAGCCTCTCACCTGCTTGTTTTATCGACTGAATGCTGGTAAGACGTCCCAAGTTTGAGGTATGATATTTAAACGACTAAATAAGAAACGAACTTTGCCCTGTTAACTTAGACTCAGTCGAAGACAGAGATTGGAGATATCCGTTGTTCATTAATTACTGACAATATATGGCCTCAATAATTGATCCGTGTGGTAGGAACCTTTCAACACGTCCTAGTGGTTTAAAAGTAAAATTTTGATTGATTAGCTTACAATGTATCGTTGCCATGACGTTGGCGGTATCTCCATTAGAAAGGAACATTCAAAAGTGATGACTAGGTAAATACGATACCAGATTTCACCAGGGCGAACCAATATTGTTTTAACTCTAATCTGAGGCTGGCTTTGTGTGATCAGTTGTTTGTGGACATTGGTCAATATTAGCTGACTGGGTAAATACACAATACGGCCAAGGTGACCTTTAACCAACCTTGATATGATAACGAAAATGTACTAAGGACGCCAAAACATTAGCGCTGTATACAGTAAAGTTAAGTTAGAGAGCATCAGAATCTGCTGATTCATCGCACCAAACTTTATCTTATTTCAAGAAAACTAATTCCTAAAAAGTAGTATTTCAACATTGAGGCAGTCTCGAAATTCGAGAGGTTATGATCATTTGTACAAAGAGCGAAAGTGATCGTAACATATGCAATTTCGAGGATGACAAAGAGGGAGAAAAAAACAAGAAAACAAATCCTAAAATTGTATTCAAATTTCCCCAACGATTTAATTAATCATTATCAATTTTATTTTATATTAAGTTAATTTCATTCATTCTTTGTATTACACATGTATCGTGAGTACTGACAAGTCGACATTATGATGTAGTATAAACTCCCACATGTATTTACCGTACTTGGTTGTCAGGCTAATTCTATTGGTATTAATGCATATTCCGAGGACACATCATAGCCCAGTCGGTACAGCGTTGATTTGATTACGAAATTATCAAGAAATAACATGATATCCTGATAATAGTTTATTGAAGTGTTTGATGTGATCCACTACGGCCGAACATCATGATCCGGCTGTGTTATGTCATCAGTGAAGAGGCGTGATCACGTGATTAGATCACGTGATCACGGTGCCTTTATACAAAGCTTGTTTGGAAGGAGTTTGCTAATTAACCAGTTTATTCTAATGCATAAATTTGAATACGTGAGAAACCCTGATAGACGATATTAAATGCGAAACGTCAAACAAAATTTAATTGTTATTGATAAATTTAATATATATTCAAAAGATTCCAATACCGACTATTATTTCGTTCTAATAGAACATGGTTACTATGTTGTATAGGTTTCTACCTGCTTAGAGTGGAATAATGCTACCTGATGAAGGTGATGTATCGTAATAATCAGATTTTTTCTCCGCGTGATGTAATTTTTATTCTCGGAAAAAATTTTAACGGGATAATTAAAATCGCAAAGAGTATTACTAGACACAGATTTACATATCTTTCAAACCTGCTGTGTACATACAGCAGTGGACATGTCACTTATCGACAGCGTTCGCTTGTTGATTTACTATCGATTGTGAAATATTGGTATCGAGATCATTTTATCATCAAATCGCTAGCTTTAACAATCGCCAATTAGGTTTTGTAAAAACATTCGTTGGAAGTAGATATTTGCTTGTATCTTGAATCAAGGTAATTGGTCAAGGTTCAAAGGTGACTATATTAACGTATGATTGTGAACATTTGGACTGCACCGAAATCATTATTTGGTATAAGTACAAAGTGTGATTCCTGGTGAATTTGCATTCTAGTGATACCAAAAAAAAAAAAACAAAAACAAAAAAAAACAAAAAAAACCACAAAAATAAAAACAAAACTATAAAATCAATGATACTTTAGAATATAAATTCAATCCAATATGATGGAAAACATCATTATTTCCTACTGATCCAAAAGTACACAAAACGATAATAAAACCGTCCATGGTAAAGGATTTTATTGAATCAGTGACGCATTGATAGCCGAGTGTGTATTATAGAATCAAATTGAATGATTTACAACAAAGGAAAATGACTGAATGTGCAGTTCACACGACTGCATGTGTATTCTATTACATAAGACCCCAGGGAATTATAGTGGCTGGTGTCAGGACCCAAAAACCCGAGCCATGATTGTATACAGTTAGAAATATTACATGGATGTGAAATCATGTGAATGATAGCCCTATTGTTTAAGGAAAACTCCAAACAGCCGAAACATGATATAGACAATTCATGTATCTCGGCATGGCTTATCGTACTTAAGCAAACCCCGTATAACTGTATCCTCGTGTCGTTTACATTTGAATGCGTAAACAGACACATATCAGCGTCCTGTCACATACTGATTTTTTTAAGGATAAATAGCACCACATGTCTGTTATATTCAACATCAAGAATGAACATTTTAGCCAGTTATTTGAAATGATATTAATACTTGTATGTTAATGTTTGATTATGAATATATTTTCGATATGATTATCATGACAAATATTCCCAAAGTATTCCCACCGCTTCATCTGACATTTGTAAACCAGAATGAAATAATGCGGCTCAAATCTAACCAACGATTCGTTGATAAAACTGACCAGCCGGTGTCCTTTTGGCAATCTTTGGCCTAGATGGCGAGTCTGTATATACTTCTGAAACGTTTTTGCAGTATCAATTTTATTGTTCGGTTTTTATTGTTTAAAAAAGAAATAAAAGGAAAACTCATTAGTGTCCCGTTAAATGTTTCTAAATATATAAATATATATCTGCCCATGTTAGCTTGACATAAACTAATGGGGAGTTCGGTAAAGTGTTGCAAAAGTTTTAAACATTTCCTAGTTTTTGATATGTTTTGAATCCTCGTTTAACTGTCTGGGGGGAATAGAATATTCAATTTTCCAGTCATTTTAATAGGGGAGATTTAAGATTCAACATCAAAACAAAAAACTGGTTACTGATATCTGTAAACAAAGGTGTATTCGATAAAGTAAGCCATATGTAGTTAGTGTTGACGTTAAGGACGAAATTGGTGAACGATGCAGTTTAATTCGTATTTTGTCTCTACTGTATATACTTAATCATGCTACTCATTTGCGTGTCTTTTGCACAGTCTTCTAACCGTCTATAGACTCTTTCAATAAGACACTATTTTCAACTTTGTGAAGATCCTGAGATAAACATTAGTTAATTCCCAATTATAATTGTGATTCCCTCGTCGTAACTATCACTGACGAGTACTAGAAGGACGAAATTTCTGTATAATGCAGTTTTAATCATTGTTTGGCTCTACTGTATTTTAAGCATCACAAACGAGACCTAATGGGATGAAATAGCTGTATGATGCAGTTTAAATCATTGTTTGGCTCTACTGTATAATAACATCCCTGACGAGTCCTAGTGGGACAAAATAGCTGTATGATGCAGTTTAAATCATTGTTTGGCTCTACTGTATAATATCATCCCTGACGAGTCTTAGAAGGACGAACTATCTCCATGATGCAGTTGAAATCATTACTTGGCTCCACTGTAAATTGACTCTGTTTAATTATGAATTTGTATATAAAATGCTATTTATTTGTGTGTCATATGTACATTTTCTTCTGTTTTTAAAGATAAATAGACATGACCTGAATGAATAAGCTGATTTGAAAAAAAGTATCTGTAGACGCGTAAGGATGATGTATACTATAAGTACTGTGATGGGCTTGATGATATCACCGGTTATACTTTCTGTGATATGTTTATATCAATATATCATTAATTAAGAGTTATAGATCAATGTACAGACTGGAATGACAGAGACAGGCTGTCCGTTTGATATACATGCAGAACATCAACACGCAATGCGTATCTCCAGGGACAGATCAAACCTCAACCCTACCTGAAGGAATTATACGGGATAAACAGATCGAACTATACTCTGTAGGGGTTTACTTAGGCGATGAAAACACTGGAGTGTGATAGACCTGGTAACCAATTAATCCATGTCGCGTACATTTGTATCTATATTTCCGCAGCACATTTTATAGTTTTGTAGTGTGGAAGGCATCTCTGGAGTACTAAGCTTCATAAACCTTTGTACATTCTACAGGAAAATGTCATGAACTTTGAAATCATTCAATACATTGCGGGACATATTTTGCACACGTGTGGGTAGATTAACACACACACACATATATGATGTATAATTGATCACGATAAAGTCTCTGGTGCACCATTCCACGCGCCGACTATGATAACACCGAATCGCGGCCATGTGGGTGCATTGCCGAGACCACTCAGTACACACGAACTGCAGTTGAACATACAGCAATGATATATACCGCTTCATTGAATGTACACTCAAAAGGAATGTTTACATAGAGCATCGGACATATGTCGATTAGAGTCATCATTTAAGAACTGATGATATTTTGCTACGAAGTCCTTCTCAAACATGTATTCAGAACGCACTTGGCGTACATATACTTAGTACAGATATTTTTGAATACAAATATGTAACAATGCTAACAGTATTGATGATTTTGGGGGCACAGTGCCCTTCATATCGACCTTCAATATTGGCATATGACTGCGTTTCACCTTCCCTATCATCGCTTGATTGAGGAGAGTTTCATATATTTACTGTCTTGTGTTTTTCCTCTGTGTCTTTAAGACAGTGCGTTTTGGACATGAATAATGTAATTTTCTATATTAGTTATCTCGAGTGCTCGATATACGTGTATTTTCAATGTTCCAATTTATATGCACGAGAGATAATTCGAGAGTGTGAAAAGTTAAGTCGAGCACAGGGAAAGTTTAGTCAAGTGTTCGAAAACAAGATGTCGAGAGCTGGAAATAGAAAGCAATTGTTTTCATGTCCTTAATGTACCACTGTAGGTCGTAGCAGTTGTTACAGTCGGGGAAAAGCGGGACGCGATGGAAATGTTATAAAGATCTGTCAATGAATGGCAAATATTTTGAAATTAAAGAAGTTTACGCTATAAGTGATCCTAACCTATTGTAATTTCCAAGCAGGTGTTAAGTTGAACCGTAAGTACACTCTCAAACAGGAATTGCAGTTTCCATGAAAGGCAACACAGAAACTAAGTAATGTGTATTACATATTATATATTTCTTATATCTATTCTGAAAGGTTTCCAGTTGTACAGTTGTTTTTTTTCGTTTATGCACTCGTGTGAATGCCTGTCGTTTCGGATTATGTCCGATTATTGATGTTTTGTATTATTTTGTTACTTTAGGTGTGCATATCATTGAAAAACTTCTGACCAATCATGATCTGGTGGTCAAGTCCTGGCGCGTGGATCAATTACGTGGCACTATGCAGATCAGGGAACACCTTGTGCACATGCGCAGAGCCTTTGGTCAGAAGAGCGTCCTTTTCTGCAGTAAAGAGAACACGAGAAATATTCTTGAACAGGTATGTTGCTTAGAATATGTGTTTTATCCCATCATTTTGGATTTAAAACATTTCGTTGCATGCAAACAAAGGGAAGATGGATCCCTCATTTTTATCAATGCTGTTGAAAATCAATGCATGCATATACGTTTAATTCCTGTCTGAGCGATAAATTGGTAAATGCACTGAAAATGCCGCTTTTTACTGCGGATTCTTCTCCCGAAAATATCAATATCTAAAACATGAAAGAGGTATTCACTGTTTTTTCTATTAGATTTAATCCTTTGTATAAAGAAAGAAAGAAAAAAGGAAATCTTTATGCTATACTTCAATGTCATTCTAGTGTTTGGATGACCTTCGTATCCATTCGCAATGCAGGGTAGTAATCAAATATTTTGTTCTTCACTTCGCTTTTCTTTGTCTGCTATATCCATTAGATGTCGACAGATGCCCCAGAGGACAAAATAAAGTCAACACTAACGTTTCAGGCCGTGCAATGCTCACAATAAATAGTTCCTAATGTTTCATATTTGTCTGAACCTCAAGGTCTTTCATACATTTACCAACAATGTTGTGCAAAAGAAAATCGCATGCTTAACTTTATAAACAGCATGAGATTATAATAAGAAAACTTTGTCCTTGTTCGAAGGTCATTGCAATCATGGAAAAATGTTTTTTTTTCAATAATTTTCTGTTGTCTATTGTAGTTATCATTGTTATGCATTTGGTAGTAGAAAAATCTATGATGAAGAAGAAATGTATACAAACTAATACCATTTTTTTATTTCTTCATTACCTAAATGAACATTTATTTGTCCATTATCAAACACTTAGTGTTTTAAGTGATTGCTCGAGGTCTGATTAGATCCTACTGAATTATCCGTCATAATTGGTCAGAACCTATTGGTCATGCATTTAATGTCGGCAATTATTCTGAAATTGCTTTTCTGAATATCAGCTGACTGTCATTTAACTGATGGCCAAACCCGTACGGATACCACAATAGAATACAAAGTTGTGTAGCCACACTGAATAACAAAGATGTGTACGGACTACGAGTATAATTTACTTGTGTGATTCAAGTTACGATTTGGCTTGACAAAACAAGTCATTATTCCAGTGATCATTTCTCCGGTTTTGACGTTTACTGCAGCATTCCCTTAAGAGGAATCCGCGCACTTAATATTACATTATGTGACGAAATGTTGTTAAGGATACGTTGTCGCTAATTTAGGTCAAGGCTTTATAGCGGTCTTGGGTGATGCAAGAAGCCGGCTTTGCCATGATATCAAGCAATGCCTGTGAAGGAATCCCTGGCCGATGTAACAATCGAGAAACTCACATAGCAGTAGTTGTGATGTGAACAAATGTCAAAACGTACGTTTCTTTACTGCTGTGTTATAGCAAATTATATCGACTATGAATGACATAAAACATAAGAAGATTTCAATCGTTAAAAATTTTATAAAAGACGCACATGTGAATATTACCTTTCTCCTTTTCTCAGTGACGCAAGCGGATTAAAGTGCATAAATCAATGGACAGATATCGGGAAATCAAAATTGGAGGAAATAAATATCGAAATTTACCTGAAATAGTACGTTTTACACCCTAATTCCTTATATCTCATGATCTAATCAATACTGAATGACTACAAAAGCTTTACGTACCTGTGGACATTTGAACCGAACCGCTTCTAAACATTAAGAAATAAAAATAATGAAGATAAATATGTATTTTCCAAATTTTCTGTCGATGATGTCGAAATCAAATGCTAGTTGGAAGACACAATGCGTCACATACTTTAAATATTTTCTATCTGCCTATATCTATACGGTGCTGTTTTATGGTCAGTATACACCATTCTGGCATGTTATTGTTTAAACGTTCAACGCGCCCCATAAGGTTGATGCGCTGATATTTAAATGTTCCTTGACCACATTTGTCTAGGTGTATCGATGTTTAAGTTATCTGTGCAGTAGGCCAAGCAATGTGGTAAAAGAGGTGATCATTCTGATAAACACACACCGGAAAATCCCTAGGCCATCGCATCATTGATTTTACCATAGATAGCTAATTACATATCCCTAAAGTGTCTTTTCCATGCGTTCTTTCTCTGTGACTCTGCCAAGAGCACAATAAACGAAACCGTTCGTAACACGAGATGTGTCTGTCGGCCAAACAATATTGACAATGGGTCTTTCTGATTTTAGATGTAGCTAGCGACCAGTGGTAACGGTATGTTGCAATGTACACTGAATTTCGTCAGTGTGACGGATCCCAACCATTGCATTATCACAGGTATCGAAATCGATGGTTTTTGTTTTAAATGTTTCACAGTCTCTGTCAGCATGGTGTAAATATTGGTATCACGTGTCATTGCAGTATAAATATAAACTTTGATAATGTGATTTAAATCATGAATATCCGTTTTATATTTTAAAGCAACACGCACAAATTAAAGATCGCATGCAAGAAAAATTACGAAATACTAGTATACACGGAGTTACGGGAAAATAAATAAATATTATATAGCCGCACGTGCTGTATATCTGCCCCGCATACGAGTGACTAAACACGGCATTTTGGTATAATAATCAAACAAACAAAAACATATATCACAGTAAAGTTGATCGGTTGTGTCAAAGAGAAAGCAATATATAGAGAATTGGTCTTATTTATGGCAAGTTATGGTTGTCTGTTTTTCATTTATCACAATGCAGAATACAAACACGTTCCATATTTGACTCATGGCAAGACAAATTTTATACATATATTGACGTTTCCCATTGTAGTACAATACATTATAACATATACTTGATTGTCCAAAGATATACTTGTTCATTTATCATGATTTTACTAAACAATTGCAGACAAACCCCGTTGACTAGGTCGCATCTATCAAGTGTTATTTCTTTTCTGTATATAACCATAATATTGCAGTTCGGCATAAAGGTCTTTGGGAATTTTTTAGTCAACAAATTAAATTCTATGTTCCGAGGAAGTACCTGTTCAAAGTGTAAGTAGCTTTCTTGTGATATGATTCACATTGTAAAGACAGACTATTATATCATCGGCAAGTACAATTTATAATCCAGTGATTAATTATTAAAAATTTTAAAGGTTCTTGTTCCTTGGTGGCTAATTCGGTTTATGCGTATGCCGTGATCTTATTTTTCCTGTGTATAACATCTCTTTCCGAAGTTGAAACGACTTCTGATATATATTAGTGGCTTCCATTCCTCTTGAGCATCCATTTTAAATCAGTATTGAAAACCTTGATATATTTCTCCATATCTGAGGCGAGGGAATCTCCAAAATTTATTTCTTGAAATTTGTTGAAAAATTTCAGTGATGAATGATTTTACATAAATAATCCCATTTGATTGATGGTGAATGCAAAATAAATGATGATCAGATGGTGAACATAGAAACATAAAGTGATTTTACGACCAGCTTGTAGTTCTACGTCACATAACGGTTTATTACTGCTTCGACACACTGACAGTTCATTTAATGCTTGTTTTGTAAATGTAGGCTCCGTGTAGATTATTAGGTTTTGGAATATGATTTTATTTATATGGTGATTTTTGTCTTGTTGTTTTCTCTGTCCTTTCCATTTTGTTTTGCAGTGAAATAGACTCTAGATGATATGTTATTGGAGATTTTGTTAAGGACAATACAACCCTTTTTTCTTATGTTTCTTAGTTACACCACATACGATTAATAAACAACAATATGCATATGAAATACCGTAAGCATCGACATTTCATGTTTAATAAATATTACATACTTGATAATGATTGCTTTATTGATAGCACTACATGTCTTGCATATTTAATTCAGGATAAGCTATGTTAATTATTTAAGTTTTTGTCTATCGTATTAGGGAAATAATGATCTGTGGCACATACCGTCGTATTAAATATGTTATTCCCCTCTGTGACCTTTACATTATCTATGTATATTAGCTAAGGTATAGTCATTGTTGCTTACATCAATTCTTTTTATAGACATTTCTGTCAATAAAACAGGCATATTCCGCTGATATATTCTTAAAGTAAGCTACCACTCCATTGTTTGTCATTTCTGTTCATGAGACAAAAACATCAAGAAAATACCAACATGGCAAAATAAAATTATAATTCAAATTCAAATTCCATAAACTAGGGCAACATGTTAACAAAAGAATGATTTACACGAAGACTCCTGAAAAAGTATAAGGAGAATAAGACCAGGTGTTCCGCACGAGTAAGCGTCTTCTGCTTCATAGACGGCATCCTCCATGTAAACCTTGGTCAATCCAAGTGAGTGATGTCACGTTCTCAACTGAGGACAAAGTATACAACACCAGAACCATCAGGCAAACTAACGAGCATCATATACGTCCAGCTTCATGTCGCACAAAGAAATAGAATTTTTCTCAATGACCATAAAACTTTCCCACAATTCCCAGTTCTGGTCGACATATACGAAGGACGTAGTCAATAAATTTCTTGCTATTTAATGACGTCATCAATATATAAAGGTGAAATTAAACGACTTTGCAAGATCTTTGTGACATGTGTTTTTGATATTCTCTTCAGTAAATTCAGCCTCGTATGAAAACAAAAACAATTCCGCCATCAGAGGGGCGCAGTTGACAAACATCGTCTACACGACAGGAAGGCAAACTGTTAATCCAACATAACGACACAACGAGGTGCTAGCAGCACACTGTGATTACCAGTTCTGTCTTTAAAAATGAGCAATTTTAGTAGGCGTGATTGATGTGGCTAGACTATGAATTATTAACCGGAAGTTGATTACAACTAGGTTAACCAGTTGTAATTTGGTCAAACAAAATAAATGTTCACTGAGATCAGATTTATCAAATTCAAATTCCCGAAACATTAAAAGCTGTCATGGTCGTTTTTGTTAATCTGAGTATTTTGTATTTGCAGACTGAGAAGAAGTCTGACAATCGACAGCGATAAAGCTGCAAATGCTCTCTGCAAAACATGCCATATGTATTATAAAAATTGACCTAGGAATTAAAAAAATTAAATAAAAATTCCTAATTATTCTCAAGACATGTTGTGAAACAGTAAAACCGCTGTAACCACTTCAGTTAGGTCAAATTAGTTGTACATTTTGCTCAAATATGTCTATGTCGCGATTCTCAAACATCTCTAAGGTCGCGGTGGTTAAGTGGTTAAGGCGACTGATTATCCTGAAATAGCCCTCCAACTCTGGGTAGTGGATTCGAGACCTTTGTGGTAGGGTAGTTGCCACAGGTACCCGCCGCAGGTCCGAGAACTTCTGCTTTCCTCCAAAGTCAATCCATCCGTTCTTAAATGACCCTTGATTTGTAATAGGACTTAAAGCAAAAATAAACCAAACCAATCTCATACATCCAAGACATCTTGAGCTTTTACCGTAAACACCCCCAGAAATCTATTATTTGGATCAGTTATCAACAGCGATGCCTTGTATATTAGATACAACAATTCAATTACAACCACGAATACACCGAACGAATTCCAATCACGTGATCATTACATGACCTGATTCACAATATGTATATCCTAGTAACAAATCCGTTGAATGATACTTACAATATATGTGTTGGTTCTTTCTTAATCACACCTGTATGTTACATTTATCCGTTGGTAACCATTTTTGTGACATGTGTGGTAAGACATGCTGAAGGTATTATTGCTACCCGAAGGGAACGTTAAGGCTTTGCAATGCATGGTTCAAAATTTCAATAAAAGATGAATATATCCAATGGTTTTATTTCATGAAATGCAACTGTGTGATATTATGATGGTTACGAAATCTGTATTTCCGTTTACTCTTTTGGTTTATTAATTTGTTTATTTTGTTTTTCAGGCGCGGAGTCTTGCTATGCTGTCAACTCCTTACGAGTGGTTCTTTTACGATCCCGTACGTATACTAGACATATGGGCATTAATCATGACTAGTAATACAAGGTATTGTTGTATCATAGTGTAAACTGATAAATGTTCTTACAATATCGATATTGTATTTCCGGATCATGACCGGATCTACGTAGAAGTACGGAGTATGGTATAATAGTGTATACCAATAGATGTCAGTATTAATAATGTATTAACTGTTTAAAACTGAGACTGAACAAACTCGGGGTAAATGCTGTATAAAAGTTTATCCTAATGTAATTATGAGACTACAATATCAATGTTTTAATACTAGATAATAAATAGATTTGTCAGAAATTCTGGCTTCAAGATTGTATTGAAGTATAAAGAGTCGAATTTTGATTGAATATCCTCCTGTCATGATTTTGGTCGGAGAGATTTTATATTTATTACTAAACAATGTACGGTGAGTAAAAATGACATTTAATATCAGGGACAGGTGCTTCTTGGTAATATTTCACGAAACAAACATTTAAACAAATGTTAATATAAATATGTACATCGTTACCATGGATACCATTATCAAGGACTGCTGTATACTTTATATGTATAGACAAATGACAAATTGACTTGACAAAATATTGAAATACAGCAGACATGCATGTGGTTAATACAACATAGATTTAGGTTTTTTGAAAATATATATTGATGTATTTGTTAAAATTATCTTTTGAATTATGTTAATTTTCATATGATTCACGTATCAAATCAACAATTTAAATATGCGATGTATGCAGATGTTTCTTAGGACAGTAACTTCTACACACTGAATGACCCGTGTTAGTAAATTATTAATATTCCAATCAAGCTGGCGATTACGAATGCGATCATGCTCGAAAGGCTTTCCTAGCAAATTATCAAACCTAGATCACTTAATTACAGGTAACAACAACGGTTTTATTTGATTTGAATGCTCCAGTTATCAATCGTTATATCTAAAAGGATACAACTCTCGACTCATTTAATATCAAATCCCTAGATCTCGTCTCTGTCGCTATCAATAATAACACACATCTCGTTTCATCTCACTGACCTCGCTGGCTTCTGAGTGATTAAGGCGTCTGTCTGTCTTTATCACCAGCCACCCTCCACCTCTGGGTCGCGGGTTCGAAACTTACTAGGGGCAGTCGTTAGGTACTAGTCACAGGTCGGTGTTTTTTTCTTCGGGAATTTTGGCTTTCCTCCACCAACCAAACTACGCACGTCCTTAAATGATACGGGCTATTAATAAGAATAAACCATTTTTTATGAAGAGGACATGATTGTTATAACATAGCCCCGACATCATGTTATTTTTCATAACACAGATATTTTTTCCTGAAATGTATTCTAGCCGATTTCTGATTGGTTCATGGTTTGTGACTTCATAGGGTAATCAACTGAATGACGTATTCAATGACTTCCCTGAGGTGACCGTGAACTTTACCATGTTTGGGTTGATGAACGATTCGGCTGATCCAAAGTTTGGAATGAACGAGGACCGTCTTAACTGGTCCTTAGCTATGGACGCGTCATCTCTGGTCAAGATCGCCGTGGACAATGTAAAGAACTATACGACTTCAGAAGTGAGAAAAGGACTAGTCGATGCCATCAAAGAGGTATATTTGTGGAGTACTGTTGGCTAACATCGAACAGAGAGATCATTACCTCTCTTGTTCAGTAAAGGTGTTTTAGATATATCTGATTAAAAGCCTACCGTGATGCTTTATTTACCATTAGACAGATTTCGGAGACCAAGTATAAAGTAGATGATTTGATATTTGATAATAAAAGCTTAGTTAATATCAGAATTCTGAAATCTGACCTCTGGTGTTTGCATACCGGACGCTGAACTCATTAATTATATATCTAATTGATCGATATGTATATTTATCTGCTTATTGATTATAAATGATTTCAGCCTGAAGGGAATTAATTCCATTTTGATTAATATATATATATATATATTCCTATTGCAAAACGTTAAGATTTTCCTCTAGACATCTGCTACTGAATGCCTTTGTCTCAATATAGCGATCAAAGTTCATAGTTATCGGGGAAATTGCTGGTCATTGGCCCTTGATATTATGAACAAATTGTCTTAAGGAAATCAATTGGTACTTAAATTCACCTTAATCTTCAACTTATTTTTTGGACTTTTGAATCCGTAGGTTAAGAATGCGGACGATGTCAATGAAAATACCCTCTCCCCCAACCCCCAACCCCCGCCCCCTACGAACATGAATCATTTTACAGTAATCCGTAATTCTTTAGTTGACTTGTATTTATGTTGTCTCTTTCAGATTAAGGTACCAGGACTGACCGGAACAATGGAGTTTGATGAGAGAGGTCGACGTAACAATTTCTCTATTTTCCTCTCTGAATACAACGGCTTCGAAAAATACGCAGTATGTATTACAATTAATGTTAAATGAGTGAAAAATTATAACGTGGAATATTTTAAGCTGAAAATAGAATCCACCCATGTAATATTTTTTGTAGATGTCACAGGTGTAATATGCCTTGAGGCGTTTTTCATTGGTTTTGCCAGTTAGAAATCGATTGATACGCCGTAATATAGACATTCACATCCTGAATTGCAAAATGACTCTACAAAATGGCTGCCTCCGTCTAATTTTGTCCCAAACATTTTCTATTAGAATTTTAAGACTTGTTTCATACGATCTAATATGAAAGGAAAACTCATTGAATATCCTCCATATGTATTAGTATATCGATTGGCGCTATTAATTGTTATCAACATTTATTAATCGTTACTACAGTTGTAACTCAGTATTTTCGTCAGTATCTATTTCTTTTTTAATTTCTGTGGTTGTGTTTCCCGGTATAATTCTGGTCTGACCATTGTCAGATCCGTGTAACCGCGGGCTACCATTCCACAGTGACCAAGTGGTAATGACTAGATGACATGTTAAGTTGGTCATAAATGTATCCTATCGACATCGCGTCGTCGTTGGAATTGCACGGAAGACAAGCAAATGATCAGCAACTTTCTAATAAAATATAATAGCTAAATACATAACTAAATTTTGTCAAAGTACTGTTTCGTTTGTCTATCACTTGTTAGTTGAGTTACGACATGTACGGCTAAAATCTAGGAAACCAGGCTTAATAGACGTCAAACTGCAAAGTAACAGATTTTCATTTTTTTTTTTTTTTTTTGGAAAGAACGTCAAGTATATGTGCATATTCTGAACCGTGCCTCCGTTTACTTATTTACGTAAGGTGTAACCAGTGTTTGAGGTTTGTTTGTATGTTGGGCCTGGTTTATCGCAACGTGACCACTAAGGTCATTTTGAGGCTAGGCGTGGTCTCTGAGGGAGGTCCGTCTCGTGCTACTCAGAGCGATCGAGGTAAAGATGTTACCACCAAGGTTATACATCTATGACAGCGGACACTGGTTGGTCTATCCGCTTTCCTAGAAACAAAAGTCACCATAGGCATGGAGAATCGAGCTACACACCAGTTTTACTTGAGTTAACATAAACCAATGATCTGTCATCTGAGTAATTGCGAGGTCCTACGTTAATGTTGCCAAATATAGAGACCGAATTATGAAATGCTTAGTACGGAAACTATACAAAAACCCATTTGTCAACAGGTGCTCTTGTGCACATTCACACTAAATATAGAATTTTTAAACACTTTTAATGGCTATCTATTTTCGTGTTCATTTTTTTAATCGACACTGGTGATATATATCAGCAAATTGACGTCACTTGAACATAACCAGACTTCTAATTTGATTAAACAGTCCTGAAATAGGAAACTCCATTCCGAAATCGTTCTCATTTAGCCTTAATTATTCCCGCATTAACCATCTGAAACAATGGCTTTAACTTGCTACTGATGGATCGTTTAAATAGTAAATAGATGATATATGGTTGTAGAACACACCGCTGTATTGTTATGAGAAGTCGACAGGGCGTTGGCGCTGACATACGTTGTTACCGCTAACCTTCTGTAGTCACAGAATCAGATGGTGATTCTACAAGCCGTGCTATCAAAGACATCACTAGTCAATCAATGACACCCGTTTTATTTGCGAATTCATATTTGCCACTAAATCAATTTATTCTGGCGTATCAGTCATCAGGATTTCACAGAGCAGACTATAAATAGTTAATCGTATCGGCATGTATCCCATAAACATATCAAACCGGACACGCGCCGATGATTTCTGTTCTAACGGCGTCGTCACTGGTAATATCAAACGTTGAGGTAAGGCAACCATCTCCCCTAACATATAGTTATGATTCCGTTCAAATTCCATTTGGGTGATAATAAATTTATTTGACTGCTGTTATTGCTTTCTTCACGCTATGAAGGGTAGAGTCGTGCGCGTAGACAACAATGCTTTATTCCCGCTGTCATAAAGGTAAGGGCTCTCAATTTTCATAGCATTGGTATTGAATTGAAGATTTTATTCCATCCTGATAGAAAGTTAATACGGGAAAAGATGAATTCATGCTCAACAGAAGATAGCCTTGTAATTTTCAAGGGTCAGAATTTTTGCAATATCTTTTTTGGATTATTAAATTAAATCAAAAGATCACGATCTGAATGTAAAACGACATATGATACGCACGTGTCTCAATATTTCACGAATTAAATTTTCGTGATAACCTGAATGTACCACGAACTATCCGCCCGAATAACCGGCTTAACAGTAAAACATGCAGTGTTTAAACAAGTTTTATCTAGTTAAGAAACTTCAAAATGAAAAAAAGTGAGTACTTTCAAGGTTTTTATAGAAAAACTGTGTCGTTGGCACTTTATTTCGTTCATAAAAAGTAGTCCCTAAAGTCATGAAATCAGCGGAAACAACAACCTTACAAAAATAATGATGTTATGTGATATCAAAATAATTTATTCACTTAAAAGAAGGACGACAAAAAAGTTCTTTTTTTTAGTAGTGAAATAAAAACATAAAAAAACCAAAGTTGTAATTGAAGGACACGTAGTCTGAAAGGAATTGATCATCATATAAACGAGCTATAGATAATAATGTAGATATCTCCACAATGTCATCTGCATAGTAGGTCTATCTTTGCATAACATTTATCTGATAAATCTATTTGCCAGCGCAGGCTGTGCTTTAAGTATTCCAACAGCGTAAGTATTCATACAGTGCTTTGGAGGTACGAACTCGGTTTGGTGTGATTTTGTTTGGATTGATGATCCACGCCTCGCAGCAAATAACAAATGAAGACTGTATCGGTGGACAGAGTGATGAAAGACTTACGAGCGACATTTTAAATCGTACTCTACCTTGTCGAATTTATGCTGAGAAATACACGGAGGTTTGATAAATAGTGCGATTCGTTTGATTTTTGTATCTCCTCAATTAAAGGACACAAATACAAATTTCAAATTTTGAAGTGTTCCCACATTAGTTCCCTCAGACTGCATGTAGTACTAGATATATCTTTTTCTGTTCTGTGTTCCTAACTAGCAGAATTATTAATGTGATTTACCTAGTTTGTGGACAAACATCATTTGAGAGTTGTCAAGGCATTTGAGGTCGAGATATCACTTTCTTGAAAATACATTAAGCCCACAAGTCTACATCAGAAATAGTCGCAACGAAAGTATACTGAATAGCAGTGACTTTTAAGATCCGTGAAGTCCGTTATTCTCAGTCAGTCTTATAGAAACAAAGAACCAGTAGTGTAGATACAGGCTACATTGATACCTCATTGCAAAATACCATTTTCATTCGTGGAGAAGGTTTCGTCACGAACGATGATTTTTATTTCTAATAGTTTTATTGTCAGACATCTCTTTCTCCATTTGATATATGGCATTAGTTAGATTATATAACTATGTTGACATCGTTCAGAACATTTTAAACATTCCAATAATTAGAAAAAAAATCATTTAAAAAAACAGATGCTTAGCAAATATAGAATGACAGGTCTCCACTAGACAGAAATATATCCTAGCAACATAGTAATCTCGTGGTATACTAGATGAGCACAGCAGTCGACAGTGCGATCTTGATGTTTTTTTTTTTCGATTCGAAGAAATGATGATGTTTACTTTCATCTTGTAGCTCCGAAATGTGTTCATTTCTACAAGAAAACAATCATTTCACAATACAGTAATGAAAACAAACAATAATTCTATCTCGAACTTGCTGAACTGAGGACAACATTATATTTATCATTTAAGTCACAATGCCATGTAGCCACATCTAACGAACATTTTGACGAAAATGTGCTACACCACACCTTGCTTGAGAGCATGTCTTTACTAAGTTGGTGCTAATGCCGAATTATGTGACTTCATGGCATTAATGTTACTGTCTAAACGCGACGTGTGGGCCTTGATGATCGGTTCAATTTCCTGTCATCTGGTTTGTCGTTTCCTGACGTCTTGCGGTTTTTCCTGAGCAATAGTGTCTCCAAAATCTCTCATAAAATGCTTTATTTTGTGAAGAGTTGTAATTGTTGAGTTTTAATGATTCTGAATTTTTAAATGTATTCCTTTAAATGCGGGACGCCATTCCAAAAATAGACAGGCTAAAGAATTCGTTCTAGCGGTATGACGTATGAAAGAAATTCACAATAGGATGTACACTGATTCTTTTATCCCAAAATCACGTTAATGAACCTCTCTCTGAGGATATTAAGCAAGGCCCGTAACTAACCAACTTAAAGTATGTAAGCCAAGTCGCATGATTTGGTTAAATTTCTGTACAGTTTCATATAAACTCATTTAGTCGTTCTAGGTCACTTTTTTCAAAACCTTAGTGAACGTCAGTCACATTTAATGCAAGTAAACGGTAAACTTATACGGTTTTCTGTACAAACATTTCTAAAAAGCAGATGAAATATTACTTTAAACAGGTATCTGCTGTGCTCAATAATTACCTTCGAAGATTTCTGCATGGTCAAGTAGTAGCCATCAGAATAGGATGTATGTAACTATTTGACAGTAAAAGTCGACTATATTCAGTCCTGAAGGTCTAAATATTTGGGGTTTTAAGGCAGAGTGTAGATGTTGTACTGTCTGCAAGAAAAGCTCAAAACATATTCCATGGGTATTTTTTCATTAAAACCTATAATAACGGGTAAAGAAATTATTGGTAGAGTGGGAATGTATGTAGAGGGGTAGTGTAGGTAGAGAGCGTTATATGCATAGGGGTATCGGTAGAGTGGGGTATTGGTAGACGTCGGGGTATTGGTAGACGTCGGGTATAGGTAGAGAGGGGGTATAGGTAGAGGGCGGTATATGTATAGGGGTATCGGTAGAGTGGGGTATTGGTAGACGTGGGGGTATTGGTAGATGTGGGGTAAAAGTAGAGAGGGGGTATATGTAGAGGGCGCTATATGTATAGGGGTATCTGTAGAGTGGGATATTGGTAGGCGTGGGGTAAAGGTAG